CTTGCTTCTGGAGGAGCGCCAACAGTGCCGCGAGTTGGGAGGGCGAAAGATTCGCTGCCGCCCCGTCTGACGCGGCCGAATCCGTCGCCCTCCTTTTGGGGGGGCCACGAGATCCGCTCGGATCTGCAGCGGCGGCGGCAGGGGTGGCGACGAAATCGCCATCATTGCCGCCGCCTGCAGGCCCTCGAGCCTGCGTGTGGGTCGCGCGTGGCTGGGACGGTCGCGCGACTGTGCCGCCCTCGCCGAGCAGCACGTCGACCCCCGTGTGGGTGCCTTCGGCGTGATTGTCGGCGGGGCGCTTCCTTTTCTCCACGCTTGTTTCCCGGGGCGTTTTTTCAAGCCCCGTCGACTGACGCACGGGCGAGTCCTTAGCCCCGGGGGTATTATTGTTGGTCATCGCCATCGTCGATAAGTTCCGCTCCAGTATGTCGGAGAGAAGCGTTGACGGAAAAGTGAAGCGAGGCAGAGTCTTGAGCCTCGCCAGCTTGGACGAAAAATCTAGAAACTTGAAATTGAAAGTTCGAAATGAAAACGTGGGTGAAGGCCAAATGGCCTTCGCCCCCTCTTTTGTACCAAAAAGAGGGGAAGTAGCGGTTCGCCGAAGCCTTTGCTTCGGTACAACTCGCTTCGCTATTCACAATACACAATTTTGAAAAGTGTTACACACTTTAAAAAATTTACATTTAATACACTAGACTGGCAAAAACACCCCTTAATCGAGCCACACCACTGCCAGCTGAGCAGAGTTGCGCATCAAGGACAGCTTCGTGCTACTTTATTGTTACTGTAGAAATTACTAGTAGTGAAAACAGACTAGATATAGAATTACCCTGCCGAAATCAGTGTAATGGTAGATTTACCCTGCTGCCAACAGGGTACGGAAAATTTTACCCTAGGGGTCTGTTCAAGGAGGGGCTGTTACCCTGATTTGTAAGGGTAGGCCAAAACCAATTTTGGGCCCTGGAGCGGATGCTTGTACCGATGTTGCTGGTGATGATGTTAATCTCTGTCGTTGCATTGGATGGGGTGTCGCGCCAAGTGTAGCACAGGCGTGTTGATCAATGGGAGATGGCTGATACGTAGGCTTCTTACACGAACCCGCAACAGTATGGAAGGACTCGGGCAGCGGACGTTGATACGGTATGTTGTGTTGATGATGGGTGTGAGCTTTGTCGAGAGAATTAGGCAAAAGAGGACTGAACTAGCAAGAATGGGGATACAAATAGCAAACCCTAGAAGGGTTGTACTCGCTACAGAGCACCCCACTACAGGCTAGAGCATAATATTCTGACACACCCCCATAGCCAAAGTGGGGTGTAATCAGCAGAGGAAACAAAGCAGTACAAGCTCAGGGTGGATCACGATGTCACCACACATTCTGAGCACAAGCAAGAAGCAATAGTTTAAGGTTCACAATTATGAGCAAAGCTAGAGGCAGTCACAAAAGGGGCAAGTGAGGAGGAGGAGGGCTGGCGAGAGGAGAGTAGATAGGAGGCGACGACTGAAGCTGCAGACACACGGGCAACAGACGGCTCTGGTGCGACAACGTGGCTACCGGGAATGAGTGCCCCGGAGTACAGGAGTAACAGGCTCCGCGGCTAATATGCGCGGCAGGAGCAACGGACCCACAGGCGACGGCGCAACCGGCTCTCTGAGCTACCGGTGGCTAATCGACCCCCGGAATACAGGCGCTGCGGACGACACGACGGCGGCCTCCGCTCAACCTCCTCCAACTGTCCCACACCCCTCGACACACACCCTCTGCTTCAAACCCTAGCTCCACTCCGACGGTACCCCCCTTAAACCCCAAACCCTAGGCTCCCACACACCACCCCCCTCAGCGGCAGCTGTAGCAGAGGGAGACGAGGGAGGAGGAGGAGCAGGGGGAGGAACTCACAACCGACACCCCCATAGCCGCCACCCCCACACTCTCCACCCCCAAACCCTAAAAACGGGCGGAACGGGGGAAGGAGCGCGGGGGACGGCGAGGGGGACGGCGCGCGGCCCCCAGGACGCCACCAAGGGGCAGCGAGGGGCCGCGCACAGCTCCTTAGGGCGCCGCGACGGGAATTGGGGGGGGGGGGGGGGGGGGGGGGGGGGGGCGCGGGCGACGGGACCGAGGGGCCGCGGGCGACGGGAAAGCGGGGCCGCGGGCGACGGGAAAGCGGGGCCGCGGGCGACGGGATCGGGGGGACCGCGGGCGACGGGACCGAGGGGCCGCGGGCGACGGGAAAGCGGGGCCGCGGGCGACGGGAAAGCGGGGCCGCGGGCGACGGGATCGCGGGGCCGCGGGCGACGGGATCGGGGGGCCGCGGGCGACGGGAAAGCGGGGCCGCGGGCGACGGGATCGGGGGGACGCGGGCATCCCCCACGGGAGGAAACCGCCGCGCGCCTCGGGGCGCACGGCGGGGAGAAACCCGCCGCACGCCCCGAGCGCGCGGCGGGATGAAAAATCCGTAAAAAAAATTCGCCGCGCGCGGAGGCGTCGCGCGACCAGTAGAACAGCAGCGGAAGCATTTGGTGGTGGGCCCACCCACAGGATCGACCCAACAGGATCGTCCTGCTCTGATAGCATGTCGAGAGAATTAGGCAAAAGAGGACTGAACTAGCAAGAATGGGGATACAAATAGCAAACCCTAGAAGGGTTGTACTCGCTACAGAGCACCCCACTACAGGCTAGAGCATAATATTCTGACAAGCTTGTACCGTACAAGTTGTACGGAATGAGCCCGACCCTTGTGGTCACATCGTGCTCGTATCACAAAGAGTACATGAAACTTTCTGGTATCCAGATGAATCTGCCGGCGTTTAAGCCCTGCGTGATTATTTATTTATTATGATTCTTCTTTTATTTTTCCCAATGAGTATAGGTATGATCTGCTAGAGTTGTGCACCATTTCAGACTCACCACGTTTGTTCAATCAACCAACTCAAGTGTGACCGCATCCCAACCTTGCACTGTAAGGGCTCATCATAAGGTAATTGCAAAGTATTACAAAGACTGCACAACCATTAATCTACCTTACAAATGACCCACAGACCAAAAAGGACCCACCAGCCCTCTTCCCCCCTGGGGAGCTCGCTGGCCAGCACCGCACAGGACCCACCGGTCCTCCTCCCCCCTGGGGAGCTCGCTGGCCAGCACCGCACAGGACCCACCGGTCCTCCTCCCTCTGGGGAGCTTGCCGGCCAGCACCGCACAGGACCCACCGGTCCTCCTCCCCCCTGGGGAGCTCGCTGGCCAGCACCGCACAGGACCCACCGGTCCTCCTCCCCCCTGGGGAGCTCGCTGGCCAGCACCGCACAGGACCCACCGGTCCTCCTCCCCCCTGGGGAGCTCGCTGGCCAGCACCGCACAGGACCCACCGGTCCTCCTCCCCCCTGGGGAGCTCGCTGGCCTGCACCGCACAGGACCCACCAGTCCTTTTCTGGCTCGCGCGGGACCCCCCGGGGGTGTCCCAATCTCCCACGGGAGCGCACAGAGTTGTACCAGATGTTTGCCGTAGTTTCTCTTGGCAGATGGTCTCTGAAGGCGACACAATGCTGTGGTAGTTGCCTCGCACCAATTTACTGCGACCAAAAATTAAGAAATAACACGACTGAAAACGAAGACAAGCCAAAAACCGAACATACGTATAAAGGAAAAAAAAAAAATGAAGGGAACATTTGCGAAGTAACAGGTGTTCCATAGACGAATTTCAGCAACAAAAGCGCATCTGCCATGCCAGTTCGTTTCTGGCGCGCCACTGGCGATTTCGTAGCCACATGCGCCAGAGGCAATCTTGACCATTTCGGCGCCATGAGCGCCCCTGGCGCCAATTGCGCCGTTGGCGATTTCACCACGCGCGCCTGTGGCCATCTCGTCGCCACGCGCGCCTGTGGCGATCTCGTCGCCACGCGCGCCTGTGGCGATCTCGTCGCCACGCGCGCCTGTGGCGATTTCGTCGCCACGCGCGCCCGTGGCGATTTCGTCGCCACACGCGCCTGTGGCGATTTCGTCACCACGCGCGCCAGTGGCGCTGTCGCCCTATTAGCCCCAACATGCGCACCTATTGTAGGGACGGGTGTACCCGCTGGTCATTTTTGAAACTCGTATTGCTAGGTCAACCGAGCTTGCCTACTATTTCTTGAGAAAAGTAAGGGACTGAGGAAAGCGAGAAGCACCAGGTAGTCGGACGAGAATGAAATAATGCAGTTGAAATTTCAAATGAAGACGTGGGTGGAGGCCAAATGGCCTCCACCCCCTGCTATATAGTTGGCGAAGAGCGTCTAGCACTTCGCGGTTGCCATTGCTGCATTACAAGCAGCTTCGCTTTCAAAATACACATTTTTAGAAAGTGTTACACACTTTCAAAAAACTTCATGTTGCTGAAGCTTCCATGGTGGAGTGACGTGTTGTTGCCTTGTTTCCCACGGGCAGCACTGAAAACATTGTATTCAGCGGGAAGCACTGAAGACATTGTATTCACCGGGAAGCACTGAAGACATTGTATTCCCATGGGAAGCACTGAAGACATTGTATTCCCATGGGAAGCACTGAAGACATTGTATTCCCATGGGAAGCACTGAAGACATTGTATTCACCGGGAAGCACTGAAGACATTGTATTCCCATGGGAAGCACTGAAGACATTGTATTCACCGGGAAGCACTGAAGACATTGTATTCCCATGGGAAGCACTGAAGACATTGTACTCCCATGGGAAGCACTGAAGACATTGTATTCCCATGGGAAGCACTGAAGACATTGTATTCACCGGGAAGCACTGAAGACATTGTATTCCCATGGGAAGCACTGAAGACATTGTATTCCCATGGGAAGCACTGAAGACATTGTATTCCCATAGGAAGCACTGAAGACATTGTATTCCCATGGGAAGCACTGAAGACATTGTATTTCCATGGGAAGCACTCAAGACATTGTATTCCCATGGGAAGCACTGAAGACATTGTATTCCCATGGGAAGCACTGAAGACATTGTATTCCCATGGGAAGCACTGTCAAATAGGCCTCCTGTGCCCCCTCTCCTTCCTGCCTCTCCATCTGTTCTGCTCTGCCCACCACCACCAGTGCCCATCAACTGCTGGAAGGAGGTCTGCTCTCTGTAGTTGCAGTCTCAAGTTCCCCAGTTGAATTGTCACAAACCGAGCCGCTGCTGCCGAACCCGAACCTTCTCCCGAGCTTTCGCCCGGACCACCACCCACTGCAACTACTGTACCGCGCATGCTGGTGCCGAACCTCTTCACGTACACAGGCTCCCCCAGACTAGGAACCCAGTCATCCACTTCCGAAATCCCCGCCAAACCTCCCGCCGATCCACCAACCGAAGCATCCGAACCTATAGCAGAGCTAGCCTCGGGAGAGAGGCCCGTCAAAGCCGCCATGGCTGCCACGTCAGCACAGGCCTGGTCCGTCGCCGCCCGCTCCGGCACACCAGCAAGGGAAGCCTCCTGGAAAGCAGCAACAACGCGGGAAATCTCCTCCCTTGCTGCCAAAACTTCCTCCTGAACGTCCCTCTGATACCTTCACTTCCACAGCACCTCCCTCACAGGCACAGGCTACTCCTGCTGGCCCTGCTGTGTGCTGCTCTTGCTGCTGTAGTGGGCCTGCAGGTCTTTCAGAAGCCTCTCGGCTTGTTGCCTTGCCTCTGCTGCCTCTCTTGCATCTTCCACGGTCCGCTGCCACTGCTGCTTGAGTGATGCTAGTATTCCCACCTCCTCACCCTCTCCCCTCCCCTCTCCCAGCGCAGCATACTCTTCCTCCTTACTCTCTCCCTCTTTGCTTCTCTCCCCTCCTCCCTCCTCCTCCCTTGCCTCCAGACTGGCGTCACGAGCCAGCCCTCTCCTCCTCCCTCCTCTTTCCCCTCCCTCGTCGCCAGAGCCCCCAGAGTGGTGGCACGGGCCAGCCTGGCGGCTCTGGCGACGAGGGAGGGGGGCAGGCCGCGGGAGGCAGCGAGGGAGAGGGCGTGGGAGGTGCCGGGGAGACCCCAGGGGATGTGGAAGGAGGGGCGCAGGGAGACCGGGTCGAATGCGACGCTCGCATTCTCAAACCGGGAATCCGCCGCCTGAAGGAAGGAGGGGGAAAGGGGAGGGATAGGGAGGGGAAAACGGGGTGTTGTGAGGCTGGACCCCGGAGGATGTAGTACGACGGGTGTAGGGTCGCTCATTCGAATTCCACGCTGGTGTTCTCAAATAGGGAATCTCAAGGGGCTAGGGAGAAAGGGAGGGAGGGAGGGAGAAAGGGTGATAAGTGAATGTAGGTTGGAGAGGAAGAGACGATAGCAGAGAGAACGGCAGTGTGAGTGCTTGATTGCTTGGGAACAGTGCAAGGTGGACCATTCGTGGGGCAGGCAGGCATACATGTGAGACAGCATGAGAACATTGCAGGCATACATGTGAGACAGCATGAGAACATTGCAGGCATACATGTGAGACAGCATGAGAACATTGCAGGCATACATGTGAGACAGCATGAGAACATTGCAGGCATACATGTGAGAGCATGTGAACATTGCAGGCATACATGTGAGACAGCATGAGAACATTGCAGGCATACATGTGAGACAGCATGAGAACATTGCAGGCATACATGTGAGACAGCATGAGAACATTGCAGGCATACATGTGAGACAGCATGAGAACATTGCAGGCATACATGTGAGACAGCATGAGAACATTGCAGGCATACATGTGAGACAGCATGAGAACATTGCAGGCATACATGTGAGACAGCATGAGAACATTGCAGGCATACATGTGAGACAGCATGAGAACATTGCAGGCATACATGTGAGACAGCATGAGAACATTGCAGGCATACATGTGAGACAGCATGAGAACATTGCAGGCATACATGTGAGACAGCATGAGAACATTGCAGGCATACATGTGAGACAGCATGAGAACATTGCAGGCATACATGTGAGACAGCATGAGAACATTGCAGGCATACATGTGAGACAGCATGAGAACATTGCAGGCATACATGTGAGACAGCATGAGAACATTGCAGGCATACATGTGAGACAGCATGAGAACATTGCAGGCATACATGTGAGACAGCATGAGAACATTGCAGGCATACATGTGAGACAGCATGAGAACATTGCAGGCATACATGTGAGACAGCATGAGAACATTGCAGGCATACATGTGAGACAGCATGAGAACATTGCAGGCATACATGTGAGACAGCATGAGAACATTGCAGGCATACATGTGAGACAGCATGAGAACATTGCAGGCATACATGTGAGACAGCATGAGAACATTGCAGGCATACATGTGAGACAGCATGAGAACATTGCAGGCATACATGTGAGACAGCATGAGAACATTGCAGGCATACATGTGAGACAGCATGAGAACATTGCAGGCATACATGTGAGACAGCATGAGAACATTGCAGGCATACATGTGAGACAGCATGAGAACATTGCAGGCATACATGTGAGACAGCATGAGAACATTGCAGGCATACATGTGAGACAGCATGAGAACATTGCAGGCATACATGTGAGACAGCATGAGAACATTGCAGGCATACATGTGAGACAGCATGAGAACATTGCAGGCATACATGTGAGACAGCATGAGAACATTGCAGGCATACATGTGAGACAGCATGAGAACATTGCAGGCATACATGTGAGACAGCATGAGAACATTGCAGGCGCATGGCACGTGCACTTTTGCAACCTTGAGTTTCTTAAGGTCGCAACAGCCGCACGAAAGCATGGATACCTTGAGTTTCTTGAGATCAGCGTAGTGAGCGGTGATGTGGCGAGTGTGAGCCCGTTCCCCCTCTGCCTCCGCCCCCTCTCGCCCCCCCGCCAGGGGCAGGAAGAGCCCCGCCTTGGCCATGAGCGCGGCAATCCCGAGGGTCTTGAGGGCGGCGGCCTTGCCGCCTGCATTGGGGCCTGAGATGACCACCACTGCCACGCCGGCCGGCACAATTGTAGAGAACCAACAGAACCTTTTCGCACAAGCCATTAAGGGAGTGGATGGCACAGGGTGGGCATGGGATAGCACAGGGTGCCACCACTGCCACCACTGCCACCACAGCTCCCTCACCTCACCACCAGACGGCCTGACAGGCATGCGCGTGAAAAGGGGAGAGGGGTTGGGGGAGGAGGAGACAAGCATGTGAGTGAAAAGGGGGGGGTGTTGGGATTGTTGGGTTGGGGGAGAGAGACATGTGAGTGGGGAGTTGGGAGTGGAGGAAGGAGGCATGCGCGAGTCACCTGGGCAGCACACTGGCAACCAACCTCAAGGCCGCGTGCCATGTCCCTCTCGCCAATGCAGAAGCAATGCCACGTGTCACCTGGCTGCCAGCACAGCACGACCGTCAGCACCCCCTCATGTCCCATTCCCACTCCTTTGCCCATCCCCTCTTGCGCCCATCCCCCCTTGCGTCCATTCCCCCTTGCGCCCATTCCCCCTTGCGTCCATTCCCCCTTGCGCCCATCCCCCCTTGCGCCCATTCCCCCTTGCGTCCATTCCCCCTTGCGCCCATCCCCCCTTGCGCCCATTCCCCCTTGCGCCCATCCCCCCTTGCGTCTATTCCCCCTTGCGCCCATCCGCCCATTCCCCCTTGCGCCCATCCCCCCTTGCGCCCATCCCCCCTTGCGCCCATCCCCCCTTGCGCCCATACCCGCGTCCCATCCCACGTGCCTGGGGAGCTTCGCCACGTGGTCAATCGAGGCTGCTTGAAGTGGGACGCCCTACCGCCATCGCACATCCGCGCTTCAACCCAGACCCTCCGCACTTCATGCCCCAGCTTCGTCGCACGTTTCCATCCGCGATTCAACCCCCGCACGCGCACGTTCGCACAAGCACCTCCGCGCTCACCTCCGCGCGCACCTCCGCGCTCACCTCCGCGCTCACCTCCGCGCTCACCTCCGCGCTCACCTCCGCGCTCACCTCCGCGCTCACCTCCGCGCTCACCTCCGCGCTCACCTCCGCTATAACACCTCGCTACCCACTGGGTCAAAACGAGGGTGTTATTTGGCGCAGCGGAATGCCCTTAACACTAGCCCACAGGCGTTACACTCGTCCCCCCCTGGTGTCAACGTCCTCGTTGACGAACTTCAGGGAGTCGGCCCCCGCAGGGACCTATTCGCTGTGCCCCAAGCAGCGACTTCGCTGGTGGACCAGGCCAGCGGAGGATCGTTCGCTGGGTTCAATCTGGTAACCACATTCAAGTTCTCGCCACAGGCGGAAAATGTGGATCAGCCAGGATTTGAACCCTAGGCTCTGATACCAGTATAACACCTCGCTACCCACTGGGTCAAAACGAGGGTGTTATTTGGCGCAGCGGAATGCCCTTAACACTAGCCCACAGGCGTTACATCCGCGCTCCCCTCCCGCCTCCACTCGCCGAGTTCTCCGCGTTCGCGCAAACCCGCGCTGCTACGACGTCAGGCGAAGACAGGGGAAGAGCGCAACGGACGAAGCAACGGACCGAAAGCAGCCGCGGAGAGGGCGGGGGGTTGCGGATAAGCAAAGGGAGGTGCGAGTGCGCGAAGGGGGTGCGGATAAGCAAGGAGAGGTGGGCGGTGCTCCGTCCCGCGCTGTGAGAGCACCGTGAGAGCGCTCCTGGGGTGCGCGAGGGAAAGGCTGCTCTCCGTCCGCGCCTCCTCGCTGCCCCCCCCCCTCTCTTCCTCCCCTCTCCCCTCCACCAAAATTCGAAGAGCGGAAGAAGAGCGGTGCGGACAAGCCAAGAGACGGACGGGACGAGTCATGCGACATACGAGAGAAGAGAATCGCTGCTCTCCATGCGAGTGATGGATCCGTTGATATGCGCGATGCGATGAGATTCGCACATGGCATGCCGCGCGGTGTTTGGAAAGGAGATGCGAGTCTAAGCACGAGCGCGCACGAGAGCCTTCTTCGCGATCATATCGTGCGGGGTGTTTGGCGCGGGTGCATCACGAGGTGTCTCCTTTCGAGGTGCCTCAAAAAGGTGCACTCTACGTGTCGGAACGCCCGGCGAAAGCGACTCGTCCTGCACTGCGCTAACGCCTCACCCCATGATCGCGCTAGCCGAACGCCGCCCTTCAACTCAAGCCTCCTTCCCCCATAACCGCACTCCAAGACTGATTCTCCGCGTGGGCGCGTCGCTGTTGCCACACTACTGCGCTCTCCGCGTTGCCCTCATCGTCATTTCCCCCTCCGCTGCTCCTCCGCGCTTAGCCCCGCCGAGCCGTCGACGCGATGAGCCGCGGAGGTTTGGCGTCGTGCGAGCGGCGGAGGGCGACGTGCGATTCTCACGGTGCCAGTTGAGCTGAGTTGCTAGTGAATTCACTAGTGCTGCGAGCTACACACTAATCGTGACGAAACGAGTGCGAAGAAGTACACACTGCAAGGTTCGTACCGCAAGCAGCGAGATGGACAAGGAACGGCTACCAAGGAGCTACGTGCTAGAGATTTTGTGCGGTGCAAGGCGGGTTGACGGCTGGAAGATTTGTACTGGAAGGGTTTAAATCTGAAGGATATTCCTGTACATCTTCAAATGATACCGTTATTGAGCTGGTAAACAAACAAAGGAAATCAGAACTCCACCACACCAAATCATCCAGCTTCCATCAGCACCTATGTTAAGAAGCGAAGAACCGCACCAAACGGGTCCATCTATGCTTGTATCTAGGTGCATTGAATTGCACTAGACTTGTCAAAGGTTGCAGCTTTAGAGATCCACCAGTGCACCACTATCACCCATTTGGCTGGTCTCTAGTGATGTATGTATGTAGTACATGCCCACGAAAGGTGACGTCATTTATCCAGTCATAGTGAGGTGTACATACCTGCGTGTCTAAACTTAAAATCCACTAATAATGCACATTTGGTGCTCCGTGCTGCTGCTGCATGGAGTGCGGTCACAAGGGACAAACTTCACATGTTGTGATCAGAGTAATTGGCATACAGGAAACTTACAACAGGGATTTGAGAATGCAACACCATGTGAGAAAGGGGACATGGGATGAAAGACCGACACAATGAGGCAGCAGGAAGTTGGAAAGTGGCATTGGTAACCAGTCGACGAATGATGATGGGGGATGAGAATGGGATGGTCATGTCCCATATCACGAGAATGGGAACATGATAGTGAGTGGGATGATGTCAAACATGGCATTGGGACTATGACATGCATGCAGGACTAGGGCAGTGGAGAAACAGGAAAGCGAAGATGACAGTGGGGGCAGACGAGAGAGGGAAAATGACAAGTGGGCGTTGATAAAGCGAGGAAGCGCCATGCCTGTTGGGCTCAGAACAAGTGAGAACATGGCATGGGAAGGCACGGAGATCACAGCATGGGTGGGTGGGGGTGCGGCATGCGAAATGGATGGTCGAGATGGGTGGAAGGGCCAGGGATAGGCGATGGCAAGCAGCAGGGTTGAGAGGGTGTGGGAGAGTTTTCCCCATGGTGCCACGTGTGGATGCAGTTGAAAGGCTGGGGAAGGCGAATCAGGTGCTGGGATGAAGGCAGGTGCATGTGAGCATGTGCGTCTCATGCATGCATGAGGGAGCAGAGTTAGGAGGAAGAAACTGGCATGGGCGGATGGCAATGGGCATTGAACTGGCAAAGCATATATGTGAAGCTGAGAGGGCAACTGGCAATGAGCGACTCTATGGGCCGCATGGCATGGCAGTGTGAATATGGCTGAAACAGGACGACGAGAAACCAATGATAAATGCCAATGGGGAAAGGTAAAAGAAGAATGGCAAAACAATATGACTTGAAACTGGCAGTGGCAAGCTGATTGGACAGAGTGAAACGAGAAATTGACTGGAAGAGTGGCAATGGGAACTTGGAAAGGCGAATGGCACTAAGAATGTGACTGGAGTGATATGCTTTTGGGACGACAGATGCTTGATTGTGAATGAGAAAGAATAATGAGAATGTTATCAAGAGAATGGGAGTTGGGAATGAAATTGAAAATTGAATAATGGGGATTCAAATGGGATGAGCAGGAGGCATGTGCTGCATTACTTGACCTGCCAGAATGCATGGCCGAGCAGACGGTAGTGATGGGGAGATTGATGGGGAAGAAGGAAGGAGGGAGATATATGGCGTTTCCTTGGGACAGCTCACAAGGCAGAGAAGGGTGGTGGGAACAGTGGGGATCCTGACTGAGAAGAACCTGACTGGGGAATTTGAGTGATGGGGATCGGACTGAGAGGAACCTGACTGAAGGGAGATCGTAAAAAAGAGACTGAAAATGGGGAACCTGACTGACTGGGAACATGACTGGGGAACAAGACTGGGGAATCTGACTGAGTAATATGACTCAAGAATCTGAATGGGGAGCCTGACTGGAATATCTGACTGGGGAATCTGACTGGGGAGTCTGACTGGGGAATCTGTCTGAAAACCTGACTAAGTAGTCTGACTGAGAAATCCGAATGGAAAACCTGACTGAATAATCTGACTGGGGACCGGACAGAAGAATCTGACTAGGGAATCTGTCTGGGGAATTTGGCTGGGAGATTTGACTGGGGAATTTGACTGATAAATCTGACTGGGGAATCTGATTGGGGAATTTGATTGGGAAACCTGGGAAAATCGTCAGAAAGAGACTGACAACGGGAGGAATGAAGAAACATCAGAAAATCGGCAATGAAAATAATAGAAAAAAGGAAAATGACAATGGCAAAATCAGCAGAGGGTGATTGAAAATGGGTTTGATTGAGAGTTTCCAAAGGCAGCTCATACAGTGGAAGAATGATGGTGGGGGGATGAGAATGGGATGATGACAATGCAAAGATAGCTGTTTGAAAATGACAATGAGAACATGATGAGAGTGGAAGCATGAGAATGGGAGCATCATAGCAGAGTATGATGTAAAGGCGATCATGGGAAAAACGGCAACGGGGATCTGACAGTGAGAGGCGCGGCAATGAGAAAATGGTGGTGGTAAGATGGTTCAACATGAGCGTTGGGCAATAGTGGGAACACCAGGCAAGGTGGAAAATTGCGCTAAGCGAAAATT